CATTTACATATTAAGGTTAACACAGATATGAATACAGCTAAATACATGTGTTGGCCGATGCATTTATCAGTCTAGTGAGGCAGTTAAAGGCTAGTCGAATACATACAACATTTATAAATACAATTATTTAATTATAACAGCAATCAAGAGATATAAACAAATGCTCAATATGTTAAGAATGGTATACCTCAACATTATCTCCGACATCTGTGTCAATGTCATCATCACGTCTCCCTATGGGTTCCTTTCTCTGGTGTAAACTTTCAGTTTGCTGATTTTGTTGAAGATGGTCAGAAAGATTCTTGAAGTTATCATTGATCAATGTTCTTAGAGACTTGAACTCTCCCACAACCTTAACAATACATAAATAATTATAAGATTGCACCAAAAATATATGAATGTTATTCATTAGACTGTAATGTTTAATTTGTGGTTAAATACTCACGTATTCTTTGAATGAATTTAGGTCTTTCCTAAAGAAGATACTTCGTCATTTTGGGAATCTTGCAGCTGATTGTCATGCAAAACTTTATGTCCAAATTTGGATACACAAACAAGAGGAATCTTGGGTTGATATTCTGTTTCGTTAGAATGCCTTTCGTGTTCCTTGCGCTTTTTATGGGGCGGTGATGAAGATGGACCAACACTTGCAACATATTTCTTCTTACATTGAAGCTGTCATCCGAATCATCTCCCGATTTGTCTGAATGAGCAGGAGAAGGTCTCTTCTCAACATTGGCGCCTACAGGAGGATTCTGAATAATGGCAAGCTCTATATCGCTTGGACTGGTGTCCTTGTAAACAATCTGAAAAACAAAATACAATCAAAGTCTTACTAGAAACATACAAATGCAAATCTGGAATACAAACTAAAATTTGTATTGAATATAAAATGCAATTATATACAAATGCAGATCTGGCAGCACTAATGATTTGAAAATAATATGAAATTGTATGAAGAATTAATAATGAAGGCTACAACAACTATATATTGTTGTATGCATATGAATGCATTTGTATGCATTAGATGTATTCAAATGTATACAGTTTTTGTATGCATTTGTATACAAGTGTATGCAGCTGTTTATTAGTCCCTATGCATTTGTATACATGTATCTTGAATCTGTATGCAAGTATTTATATCTGTAAGCATATGTATACAAATGTATATTGTTGTATGCATCCCCTGAAAATGTATGCAACTGTATTTTGTGTCTGTATGCAGCTGATAATACAAATATTTTCTATCTGTATGTATTTGTATACAAATGTATTATGTTGTATGCATCCCCTGAAAATGAATGCAGTCTCTTGTATGCAAATGTATGAGTAATCTGGATGCATTTGTATGCAGCATATTTGTGAGAATATGACAGCTGAAACTACAGCAGGTATTACATCACCAAAAATGTATCTGAATGCAACTGCATACTTCTATATGCAAATGTATGCCTATTAATTATTACTAAAATATAAACTATCAATGATACAATTTGTATATTACCATGTTCCCGGTGTCATTAAACGTGTCGTTCATCAGATAAACAAAGGTTGGCTGATATCCGGTGGTTCTCCAATTGAGTATTCTGGGGACCACGTCATCAATTCGGAGTGCAATTTTGGAATCAACAACTGAACAACACTCATAAAACCACACTTGCATAGCCAGTGGCATCCCAGCTATCCTGTAATACTTCTTCTCAGCATCCATCTTCATGCTAATCGATTTTGTTAGCATTTCAAATGCTTTTAAACCCCAATGATATTCAGAATAGCGCCCACTCTCTACCAAGTCAAAATGTAGCCTTGGTATAGTTGTACTATTCTTCTCGAATGAAAAAATGAAGGTGTGTATGAAATACAACAAAGATATCTTCAAGGCATCACCATCATTGTCGGGACCCCAGTTCTTGTCAGCAAAGCATTTCATCAATTGTTCCTTCTTGACAAGATTAGCACCTCCAAAGTAAGTCTCAATAAGCCAGTTAAGAAACTTTTTACTGNCACTAAACTCAAAATCTTCATCATTACCAACACATTTGAGGTCAGTCACAATCGCAAACTCCCTTAATGTGAAATGTAATGAAGTACCATTGACGTGTAATGCAAATACATTGTTAGGAGTGACTTCTAACTGGAGAGCCATGAAGCATTTGAAGAGTTGATTTGAATTTCATAGCGCTTCATTTGAAGAAATGAGCCAAAGCAAGTATTGCCAAGTTGTTGGTACTGATCAGGAGCAAGGTTCTCTTTTAGCTGGGAGATTATATCAGTATTAGTATAAACACTGATATGGGGTGCAAATTTTGGCTGGTGTTTCACAAAAAAATTAATTCCCTGCATTTAACAAGAATAAATACATGTAAATACAATTGAATACAAAGCATATTTCATAGTAAATCTTACATGAATATATATGAATACAACTACATACACTTAGAAGTATAGATATAACTGAATACACAGAATATATTACAGTACATCTGACATGAATACATACGAATACAACTAAATACATTGACAAGGCTAAATACATATTAAAAAACTAGCTACAACACACGTGACATAAAAAATAAGTAAGCAGAATACATATGAATACAACTAAAAACTTACTGGAAAATTGAACAATTGCAAACAAAAAATAACTAAGATGAATACAATTAAAAACATACTGAAAAATTGAACAGTTGCAAAGTATCAAAATACATAAGAATACATATACATACTTATAAATACAACTGAATACAGTAATACCAAATAGTACAAAAATGTGAAATTGAATAAAACTAAATATATTTAAATACAACCAGATACATACGAATACAACATTGTACATATAAAATAGCTTGAATAATTATGAATACATATAAGTTTCTTTGAATGCATATTGATACAATAGCAATTACCTTTTGGTGTCGTGTATCTGATGTTTTTTTTGCAGCGACTTCCTTTACATTGACACATGAAGAATCATTCATAGGTTTTTTCATCTTTGAAACAACTGGATTTTTTGTTTCTTTTGAAGATTTCTCAACTTGGACTTCTTTCGACTTGTCATTGTGTAATTTAGTTCTTCTCTGTGAAACTGTAGTTGCTGACTTACCTACAAAATCCGACTCCCCTTGAGTTATTTGCAACGAGAAAGAGGGCCCATCAAAATTGAGAATTTTGGTGGGTATACCTCTGGTTATCATCTTGTGTGGCATTGAATCCGCCATTGAAGAGAAAAACCAAAGCTTCCTGGTGAGCAAACAATACCAATGGTTATTGTTTCAGAAATTTATGAAAAATCTGTATAAAAATTAGAGAACCAAATTAATGATATCAAAGTTCGAAGAAGTAAACTTACCAGGAGAAAACTTACCAAATTTTAAGATATATTTTGAATGTGGGATTGATAATGGCGGAGAAATAGAGAATTTGTGTGGGAGAAAAGTTATGAAACGTGGGTTTGTGGGAGAAGAGAGTAAAGTGTATGCAAAAAGAGAGAGAGAACGTGTTAGAGCAGATATACGGTAATTATGTGAGAGAAAATAATAAAAAGGAGAGAAAAATATTATCTAGCATATACGGTGCCTTAAATATAGGATGTAACTATAATTAGATATTTTGCTATAAAAGATAAAAGGTATTTATAGGATGTAATATTTTAAAATGGTATTTATTTAAAATAAATAGGGTACTAAAGTTTTCTATAGGGTGTAAAATTTCCATTATTTTTCACTCTCTAACCAAGTAACGCAAACTATTTTCACTTATGACTTATGCTTAAAAGTTACTTAAAATAAGCCCATTCAAATGGTTTTTGAGTCATTTTTCCGGAAAATATTAGTCGTGATCTTAAAAGCTTGAACATCAGCTCAGTTGTGCCTAAGGATGGACACTTGACATCATTTCTATCTCCTTGTTCCAATTTGGTCTACGATATTTATGCTAAATAGTTCTAGTCTTCATCTGAATGTATAAATGCCATCAAATTGAAAAAAACTTTTAAGGGAAATATTAAGCATATCTGCAAAATCAAATTGTCATAAAATTATAGTAAAATGTAACCTTGAAACAACTACTTCCTCCGTTCTAATTCATGTGAACCTGTTTGATTGGACACAAAGTTTAAAAAAAATAAAGACTTCTGGAATGTGTGGTCCTAAACAAGTCAAAAAGAGATCCAGAGTATTTGTGTGGTTACAAAAGCTTCTCATTAAGGGTATAATTATAAGTTTAAGCTAAATTATTTCCAAATTTAGAAAGAGGTCATTCTTTTTGGAACGAATCAAAAAGAAAATAGGTTCATATAAACTGGAATAGAGGGAGTAACATTTAATAATAGGAAAAAAACCAAAGAAAGGTAATATGGAATGTTCTGCACTAAATTAGATTAACTGGTATCCAAAAACTAAGCTACATTTAAAAAACATTTGAAGAGGTAACTATTATGTTCTCTTATATTAGAAGCGACACTTGACCAGCCTGTTTCATCAACATGTCTGCTTGAGACTTTCTGATATCCATGTGTTCCGCTCTCGCTCCCTCCTATTAAAACACTAGGAGCCTCTAAAAAAACCCACCGTTTGTGGACTCCTCTATCCTCTGCTCAATGTCTTTCTTGCTAAAATCAGGAAATTGATAGATTAACAAATTGTGGTTGACTTCGTTCTTCTCCACATTTGAATAATTAGTTTCCATTTCATTCTTTACGAGCTTCTAGGGTTTGTCAATCAATTTACTTTTTAGGTTCTCTCGTACTTTTTCAGACCTCACTAGTGTAATTATTTTTGTTGTTCTCTCGAACTTTTACCGTTGGAAATTTGTCAATAATTTACATCCAAGTTATTGAAAAATAATATTCATAAACTGAAAAAAGATTAGGGCAAAAATGTCTTTAACGTTCATCTATTGCCGAAATAGGAGAGTTTCCAAGAGTTTTGGGGCCAGGTGCAATTCTTCCAAATATAAAGGGGTCAATCGATAATTAACCTTCAGTTTCCCAGATTTGGACTGATTAAATCCAAATCGAAAACACAGAGCACCGAAATACTCACAGAAGGAGAGGATTAAAGCATGTCGTCACCGGCGAACGATCCAAGGCAACCGTCAACGGCAAAGCCGTACAAGCCAGCGGCGGTAGCTCCACAAGATCTTCCTATAGATTACTCCGGTTTTATAGCCGTGGTGTTTGGTGTCTTCGGTGCCATGTTCAGAGTTAGTCATTCCCCTTATAAATTTGCATTTTTTCAAATTTATTACGATTTCATTTGATGTTATATTAATTGACATAGCTTAATATATGTTTATTTGTTACAAACAGTATAAGATTTGCTCGTGGCTTGCAATAATATTCAGCGCTCAGTCACTTGCTAACATGAGGAACTTTGAAACTGATCTTAAGCAGATCTCCATGGCAATGATGTAAGTACTTATAGTTTTTGCCCCAGGATCTTAGACACGTCGAGTAAGGATTTTTTTTGGACTTGCTTAAGTGTGTGCTTCTGATAACAAATCCACATTAATTCATAAGTTTGACCTTCACTTGGCATTTGCTGCTTTTAATCAAATCTCGTTTGATTATTGTTGTGCATGATTTTATGGTACTCCACCTTGGTGTAACTTTATTGAATGTTTCACACAAATTTGTAGTTGCAAAGTCTCATTACTTCATGAGTTCTCTTTGATTTGTATTAGGGCTTGTTTTCATCACAAATTTAGCTCAATCTGTGAAGAAAATGGACTCTAAGCTCATGTTCTTATACAAAATGCTAGTCGTGGGTGGGGATTGTATGATCTTATGGACGTTGGCCCTATATTCAAGATATGAAACTTCGGAAATTGAATGGCAATGGAAGGGTGTTCTCCAAAAATACTTTTATTTGCAGGATATATGCCAACACATGAAAAGAAGGGAAAAACTCTAAATCAAGGATTTAATTTGGTATGACGTTATCATAGATCATGATGTCAAGATAAGAAGGATTTTTTGTTTGATAAGGAGAAAAAAGGTCCTCCATTTCTTGACATCATCTTTTATGATAACGTCATACCAAATAAGAAGGAATCTTCTTCCTTCAATGTTGTTTTTCGAGGATATTTAAACAAAAAAATAAAGTTAAAGGCCAAGTTATCGTCATAAAATACTATAGAGTATGTGTAGACAATTTTGTGTGGCCTTAGTTAGGGCTCTGCTTAATATAGAAGATTCGTGTGGTCTATGTGCAAGGATGACAATCTAAAAAAGAAATGGTCCAAACTTGTGATGCTATTTGCATAATAATGTTACTTCAGGAATTTAGTGAGTGAGAACCAAAAGCTTGAAATGGGGAGGTGCTCTAGAGAATAGCTCCCTGGGCTTTGGTTCAAAGGCAAATATAGTACAAAACAGGGTATTTGGTATGCACACTTCATGGAGTTTGAATTTAGAAATGCAAGGGATAGACCCATTATACATAGAGTTTTGACCTAAAACAGTAAATTTCTCAAGTTAAAAAGGAACAACTGTAGTGAGTAGTGAAAAGGTTTATGGTATGTAGAATTAAGACGGAATATATGCAATGTAAGTTCAGCTTCCATAAGAAGTGTAGTTAAAGTGAGATTAGATTGAACTTCGGTGTTCAAATGCGGATGAATCATAACTTCTGTCACGACCCAAAGTAGGGGCAATTGTCAGTTCGTCACCCAACTAGCTTGGACTTGCCGAGTGAACCCTTAAACTTGTCGTCTTGGTACGCATAAATCATATGTTGGTGTTCTAAGCGAATTCATCATCGTGTGTCGTCTAATTAAGATACAAACATACCTCATTTACTCCTCTACCCAATCATGGAGCTTCTTCAAAATCTGCTACAAAATATAAGTGGAATGCGGCTCGATAAATGATTAGTAAAAATAAAAATGAACAAAGCCAACACTGATCAAATGTGGGACTCACCACTATGTAGTGGTGCTCAACTCGCGAACTGGACGTCGTTCAATATCAAACCTATAGCACGAAGCTAAGTGGGGTGAGTGTATAAAATCCCAGTAAGTCTCCTTGACCTCCGACTAAAAAGTTGGCCAAGTATTTTAAACATACATGCACTTTAATATCAAAATCATATTTCTCATGTAAATCAATAAAATTTCAAAAATACTTATAAATACATGGTAAATTATTTAAAGTTATTTTTGAAATCCCACGTTGCTTGTAGGCCATAAACAAAAATGTTTCTTAATTCTATGGAGGTTCCATCTAGATACTGACAATGTGTGTGCGCGACATGGAGGCCACCATCCAGGCAGTAGCTAGGTGGCCTTCCAACCATTCCAGTAGATGGTCCGTCCACCTTATGTACGGTAGGGAATGCAGGACTTTTGTTGAGTCTAAAGATCTGGTCAAACATACCCACTCAATCATCTAATACGGTCCCTCTCAAAATATTCCTTCCTTTTTTCACGTCACCAATTAAAATTGAGCATAACCTTCATAAGTGAACATATTAACATTTAAATTCCATTTCTCTCGTCCATAAATCATGAACATAAATTGTAATCATAACCATTAAAACATAATTGTAACCTTCATTTAACGAATAATCATCTTTCAGCTTTATAATAAGGTGATACTTACGCCCATCTCCACGTACAATATTTATAAGAATCAGTTTTGTAATTAACAGAATATGCCTCTTTTGAGGGATACACTCTTAAAAGGTTAGGTCCTCACCTTTCTTTTCTTGAATTCAAAAATTCTCCGCCTTTTCTTAGCTTGACACCTACTTTAGAACCATTATTTTCTAAGTACGACAAAGCTTCCTTATAAATCTGAGCTTAAAGATTTTGGTGCAATAGCTATTTTTTCAATATCTAACTACTGTGGTTGATTTGTTTTGAGGGCTTGCAAATCAAATGCTCCAACTATGGGATAAATTCTTGCTCCTTGGCAAAACAGTCTGGTTTCGGATAAATCATGGGTTCGCATATAAACAAAATAGAGCTTGTGCAGTGAAGCTCACCATTTACTCTAAGCCAACTAAACCATGTCAGTTCTCCTCATACATAGGTCCAACCACTAAACCTAGTAACAATATAACAACTTACAAGCAAAAGCAAAAGAAGTTGTGAAAATGGTTTATCCTCGTATTCACGTGAAGGTATTATATAGAGCCTTATTGGCGATTAAGGTGTTCCTAACAAACGGCCTGCTAGTTAGTTAAATGATACGGTTTATAAGATCTATTTATTACTTAGCCATTAAGTAGATTAGCTAGGCTTCTATAATCTGGCCATTATTTAGTTAATATGTATTTTAATATTCTAGTGGAACCCATTTCCTTATTTAATAGATTAACAACTTAATATCATATGTGAATATTGCTATGATACTTAGTATCTTATTATTATTAGTATTATATTTGTTATTTCTATGATTAATTTATCCCACTTCCTCGTGGTACTTGGTAAAGTAAAATACCAAAGTACATATATATATATATATATATATATCATTCCTTATTTCTAATATGTCCAATCTCAAGAGAGCGTCGCGTCGCCATTTCGATGGAAATGTTATATGAATTTCCCAGCTAGAAAGAGAATAAATATCATTGACATCACTGTTATAAAAAAAGATCATCTTCACATTATTTGAATTCTTTTCTTAAAACTTTAATATGTTATTTTAATAATATCTAAGGCATGCTTGGGGCAGGGGTGTTACATCAAGATGCAGCACAGGAGGTGATACCTAGCAGTTGGGATTAAGGCTTAGCCATGTTGGTACACTTTTATTAGGTCTGGTATTTACTGGAAGTTCTTTTAGTTTATTTGCAGATTAGAAAAAAATTAGAGATCCTCTAGTGTCAAAGAACCCCTAATATGAATTCAAATACAAATTATTAAGTATCTGAATGAAACTGGTCCAAATGGATCGTAATGGATAGTGAGGATTCATACAACCGACCAACTACTTTAGGATGGAGGTGTTGTTGTCGTCATCATCGTCATTTTCTTCTTTTGATGATGGACCAACTAGTTAACATTCTCCCCGGTTATAAGACAACGTTTTACCTCAAAGCAGTGAAGTAAAAGAAAAAGCGAAGCATTTTCTTTTGTGTTTATATAAAAACAAATAAAAAGAGAATTTAATAAGAGGAAGTACCATCTTTCTCAAAAAATAAGAGGAAGTTCTTTATTTTATGAGATACCTGCCCTGCTGCCTACATAGGTGGTTGCAACTTTTCTTCAAAATAGTGCAACTTCTATAGTTCTTACTTCGCTAGAAACAGAAAGCGCTTTAATCATTGGGGAATTTTTTGTTTTTGGTCCCTTGCCTTTTCGATATCCAAGTTAATGCAGAAAGTAACCATTACCCTACTTATTTCCCTTGTCCAGCAGCATGATGGAAACTATGTAACAGTGATATTGCCATTTATATTCTTTCATATAATTCGAGTGTCATTTCATTAAAATGCATTATCTGTCCTACTCCTTCTGCCCTTAGGATGTAGACCGGACAAATCGACTTTGTGCTGCCAGAACAGAAGTCAGAAAGTTCTTAAATGGCTACAATAGTATTATAACATTTTGGATGCATGAAATGGTAAACATCTGTTAAGCCTTTCATTAGGCCTAGCCATCCGAGTAATTACCCCATCTGAGGTTTTAATTATCAGTTAATGTTGGCTGTACCAAAACCAAATAAATAAATTAAAATGGCGGTTGCTGGCTTTCGTTCTTTTTGTTCTAGAATCACTGTCACAATCATGTAACTCCTGTCCAAAATTGACGTGATGTAGTTTTTATGGCTAATTTCTTTGGGTTGGGGTGGGGGTGGGGGTGGATATTATATCGGACATTGATTAATATATGTTCTGAAATAAAAGCATAGATATTGCTACTGCCTGAAAAATACCATTGACACTTGATTTAGAGTAGTCACATAAAATATAATTAAAGAAGAGTATGGTCAAAGGAGGATGGTGTAAATAGTAACATGGTCAATTGAATTGATAACGACAAGTATCTAATAACCTAAAGGTGCTATTGCAAAATGATTCTTCTGTTATTTGTTTCAATTATTCTCTTCATTAATTTCTAATCACGTTATTTGTTCTTTTCTTGATCCAGGTTTGGAATTATGGGTCTTGTGACTAACTACATGGGTGTTGGGCCTCGGTCAGGCAAGAAAACTTGATTGAAATTGTATTAAGGCACTTGCCCTTGTTTTTGAGGATATTAGAAATGTTGAACTCGAGTATGATGCTCTAGGGCCTTAGGGATTTGTACTGTTGTTTTTATGATTATGAGAATATTTGAATATGCAAGCTTTTTGTAGATTTAAGCTCCTGTATGGGGCTATCATGTACTAAAGCTGATAAACATATGCAAATTAAATTGAATAACTTAGAAGACAATTAAATGTATTCAACGTTCTGTAAAGAGTCAAGTTCTATACCCCTAGGGGCGAATGCACAATAGACGCTACGAATTTGGCCAGACCCGATGCAAATCTATTAAACCTAGTAACTTAAATTTTATCAAAACACAAAGTTTAAATTCAAAATTTACCTTTGTGTACATGGATGGTATAAAATTACATATTGACATATAAGTGCTTAAATGGGTATTTGAGCGAAAAGCCACTCAAAGGTAGGGGTGGCAAAAGGGTTAAAAGAAAACAATTAATCACTTATATTTTTCATTAAAAATGGGTTGGATAATGAACTTCCTATACCATANCCCACGTTTTACCTTCAGTTAATTCCCCCATTTTCGTATACTCGCCTCTCACCCACGTTTACCAGCAGTTACTCACGATTCTACAGTTTTCTTTTCCAGTTAATTTCACAAAATCCTATTTTGAAGTTGCATCTGTTTTTTCAAGTCCC